GAGCGGAGAAGGCATCTGACCTTTCACGGAGCGGAAGCTGGTCAAATTCGTTTTCACACGTAGAAGAGAGGCAGAATGAAGGCGATAAAGAGGAAGAGAAGGGGGGGGGGGGGAGAGAAAGAAAATGTATGCCCTTCATCCACGAACAACATTGGTGGACTATTGTATCAGTAGCGCAGGCAGAAGGGGCATAGGGGGCACGTGCTCCCCTTTGGTATCGAGGGGCCCAAAGGGCCCTCGGGATTACGATAAAGAGCGCGAGTTGAGGATCCGAAGGGCCCGAAAGGCCGGCTGGAGGTCGTATTCGGAGGCCCCGGCCTGCGGGTCTGGGTACTCCAATGCCAGCCAGAGGGCCCTGCGCGCTGATCAAGGGTCCCTAAGTCGATAACGGCCTATGTATCGGCCAGAAACCACCATTAACGGACAGTCTGCCCCGTGGCGGCGTGAAACTGAGGGCCCATTTCCCAAGCAATGACAAAGCCGGAGCCAGCAATTTACATCGGTCGGGCCCCACAGCGCCTAACGGAGGCCCTGCGCTGGAAAGTGGCCCCAAGTCGATCAGAGGCAGTGTTCGAGGGGGCGCGAAGAGCCTGGAGGGCTCACTGGGTCCGAAGATCAAGGGCTCAATTGGAGGGTCTAAGTGCACAAAGGTCGGACCGGAGTCTTATTCAGGGGCCCGAGCCTGCGAGAATGGACCCTCATATAACAGTCAGAGGACCCTTCGTGCCGATCAGGAACACTCTGAGTCGATGTGGGCGTATGTATCAGCCAGGAACCATCCTTACCGCACAGTCCGCTACGTATGGGTATTCAATTCCAATCCACTACAAACAAATCCACGTCCACTTCCCAACAACCTGAATTTCCGGGGTCAGTGATTCACACTGATCGGGCCTCTGCATATGTCAGGAGCCCACAGTGCCCAACAGAGAACCCTGTGCTTGCACGGGGCCTCGAGCCTACAAAGGGCAATATTCGATGGGACCGAAGTGAGACCCGGGCGGCCCAACGGAACCGACCATCAAAGGTCGGCTCGGTTGGAGATTGGA